GAACATTTTAAACTTTTTTTTCGCTTAGAATTACCACCGTTATCCAAGTAGAACATTTTAAACTTCGAAAGATTGCTGAAAACCTTAAACAACTTTGCTAATGGGATAATTGTGTTGACATTTGCTGTATTAGAAAGTAAACAGAAACCCTTTTTAAAACATGAGGCCTTAGAATCACAGAACCTGCTGGTTGTCAGAACAATACCACCACTGCCATGCAGCCTCTGGAAAAATCCACTGTAAATTCATGGAAGAATGAGAGTGAAAAGGGCAGATCATATGATAGTGTTATTCTGAAAACAGTTTGATCTCACAGATGTCTCTGAAGGGGTCTCGAGTTGCCCCAAGGGCCCAAGACTATGTTTCAGGTTTGCTGTCCCAGAGGAATGCAGAGATCTGCTACGTTCCACTGCAAAGGACAGCGCGCTGAGACCAGAGTCCCTATTCACTAAGAGGCAGACACTGTTGTCTGTACACACACACCACTTATGAGACATGGCTCTTAAAATGGCTTCTAAGCTCATAAAAAAGACAAAACAATAACTCTGACCATATTAGGAAACGGCACATTGCATTTTAGTTTTAATATTTTCCCTTGTCATAGTTGGTCTTGGTTAGAATGGATTACAATACAAACCCAAAGTTTTCTTTTCTAGATTTTTTGGTTTGGGAAAAAGGGTACTAAAAATAATGAGAATCATTTAACAGACAAAAGAATGTAAAATTCTCTTTTGGGGAAAAAAAACAAAAACACTATGCTAACGGTCCTCGGTATTGCAGGGATTCATTGAAATGGCATGTATGGAAGGGGCTAGTATGGAAATCATGGTATAGGATAAATGAGCATAACAGATTAAAAAAGAGTAGCTAGAATTTAAGCTCTAGTTTATGCTTTATCAATTAGCTAATAAAGTACCTAATACCAAGCTTGAAATAAACTAGATAGTCAATAAATGTCTGTTTATTCACTCACTTTGTACATCAAATTTAAGTTCCAAAAGGAAGTTATTTAGAAAGAAGTGTCTACTTTTACAAAGAATTCTAGTTAGAACTCATAACAACGTTAGGTTATGAGTTTAGAAATCAAGTGGGAAAATATAGCCAGGAAAGATTAAATGAGACTCTATGACTGACCAGATTGACTATTAATTAGGCCGATTATCTAAGAGATAATAGAATTACTTCCTGGCTGATATAATTTGGTCGCTAAAGCAATCATAGTAGCTTTGCTGCAGGTCGGTATTTACAATGCTCAGAGAGCCACATCTCTGAAGGAGACACAAACCTTGTAATTGTTGATTTCACAAATCTTTCATGTTAGTTAAGGAAAAGAACAAGAGTGGGCCAAGATAAGCTCCTCATATTTCACATCTCATTTTAAAAACCATGTATGAGCAAACACTCTATGGGAAATGATAGTATATCAGGAAGAGATCTAAGAAAATCCATGACCAGATTCTGTAACTACAGAAAACAATGTGCTAAGTGAGACTGTCAGATGAACCTCTATAATGGCCCTGTGTTCCTTTTTGCTTTCCTTTAGGGTAGCTGCCATGATGCAAGTGTGTGGGAGGAGCTAATTATTATGGAAAACAAGAGCCCTGAGATTTTGAAAGTACAGAGAAGAGCATATGGATATGTTTATTCTTTATGGAAACAAAGGAGTCACTATTTATTAAAAAGGGAGAAGAGTAGAAAGATGTTAAAGTAGTATACATGAATAATAGTATTTTCCACTATATCTCACATGACACTTCCAAGAATATCTATACAACTCTTCACAGTATCCTCTATGAAGTAGGTGAATAGCTGAGGCAAATTCCACTATCTTTAACGTACAAACAGGAGCTTTCATTCTTGATGGGCACAGAAATAGGAGCCCAATCAAAACCCATCATCTATGCAAGTATACAACTTAGACATCTGGGAGTTGATTTTCAATCACACACACATTAACTCAACCCTCAGGAACTATTGCTGTGAACTTCTTTCTAATCACACTCAAACCTCACTGGTACTGACTTATAGCTCCTAACTGTCGATCTCGGGCACTCAGAGTATTTCAGATTCTTTTATTTCTAATCCATGCCCCACAATGCTATTGAAGAAATCATGTCAAACCCTAAATTGGCTGTTGTTAAGCCTTTGTTTAAAAATCTCTAAGCAATACCCTACCATCTTCAGAAAGAAATCCACATTTTGAAGCATGGTGCACAAGATGCTTTTAAGTTTACTTACTTACTTCTTTCATGTGAGACACACACACAGGCATCCTAGCAGGCTCTCCATGCCACAGTCTCCCCCCAAGCTCTGCAGTCAGCCAGGATCACAGTTATGCCTGACGTGTTCAGGTAGACCCAGGACATGAACTGGGAGCTTTCTCACATGGCCTCCATAACCACACAGCAAGTCACGTGGGAAAACATTGTGGGTGCCTTAATGTGTAACTTTCTATTAATATCAATATTTGTTAAATAGAATTCTGAGGGACACAGGATTTACCCAGCCATGAATGTGAACCCAGTGAGTTACTGGATCTCTTAGCCTCAGTTTCTTAGTCTACCACATGAAAAAAATAACTCACCTGTTAAGTATAAAAACTAAATGAGAGAACGCCTATGGACAGTAATTTGTAATTTAGGTCACCATCATCAGCAATACACGTATCTTCAACCACACCATAGTAACAAGACTTACACGTAATTTTCTTTTAAAAATTGTATTTAAGAAAGTGGGAAAAAGTTATTTTAATCTGTTGGAAAAAATTGTCAAAAAGTAGTTAAAATATTGAATGCATTCTATGCTTTCTGTTGCTAAATTACAGAAATTTGAGCTGGCTAAACCAGGTAATGACTGCAATAAAACTGAATTACCAAGTCAGTCTTGGTAGACAACATTATAAAACAAAACAAAACAAAAAAATCAACATGAAGCACATGGAAGTTCAGGGATTATTTTTTTGAAGTCTGTATTAGAAAAATCAATTGCTGTAGTTAAAAGAAAAAAATCATACCATCAACCAAAACTTTAAATATAGAACCAAAGTGTTTTTAGTAATACATATATTTGACTCCTGAGAAATTACTACAGGTTGCACATACCTAATACAAAAATGCAAAATCTTAAATGCTCCAAAATTCTAAACATTTTAAGTGCCTACATAGCACAATGAGTGGAAAAATCCACAACTGACCTCACACGATAGGTCACAATCAATACACTGCAATATTAAAATACGGTATAAAATTACCTTCAAGTTGTGTGTACTGGGTATAGAGGACACACAAATGAATTTTGTATTTATATATGGGTACTGTCCCCAAAATACCTCATTATGTATATGCAAATATTCTAAAATCTGAAAAAAGTCCAAACTCTGAAACACTTTTGGTTCCAAGCATTTCAGATAAGGGATATTCAACTTGTATTTTCTAAATTAAATAGTTGGCAATGGTGCCTTTACAGATATGAAAAGATCTACTACTGTCTGCATATTAATGGCTACTCTCAAGGGTATATCTGTGCCTAGGGAAGGATGCTGTTACCCTGCTGTGCAAAGACCAAGCCCACTGCACTTCTGCTGGGTGTGCACCTGCTCATCCATTGAGGCACACACAAGTACTATTGACCTCATTTCCCACCCTGAGTCTTACCTGATCGATAGCGCTCATCTCGTGACCCTGAGGACCGTCGTTCAGGTAGACCCAGGACATGAACTGGGAGCTTTCTCACATGGCCTCCATAACCACACAGCAAGTCACGTGGGAAAACATTGTGGGTGCCTTAATGTGTAACTTTCTATTAATATCAATATTTGTTAAATAGAATTCTGAGGGACACAGGATTTACCCAGCCATGAATGTGAACCCAGTGAGTTACTGGATCTCTTAGCCTCAGTTTCTTAGTCTACCACATGAAAAAAATAACTCACCTGTTAAGTATAAAAACTAAATGAGAGAACGCCTATGGACAGTAATTTGTAATTTAGGTCACCATCATCAGCAATACACGTATCTTCAACCACACCATAGTAACAAGACTTACACGTAATTTTCTTTTAAAAATTGTATTTAAGAAAGTGGGAAAAAGTTATTTTAATCTGTTGGAAAAAATTGTCAAAAAGTAGTTAAAATATTGAATGCATTCTATGCTTTCTGTTGCTAAATTACAGAAATTTGAGCTGGCTAAACCAGGTAATGACTGCAATAAAACTGAATTACCAAGTCAGTCTTGGTAGACAACATTATAAAACAAAACAAAACAAAAAAATCAACATGAAGCACATGGAAGTTCAGGGATTATTTTTTTGAAGTCTGTATTAGAAAAATCAATTGCTGTAGTTAAAAGAAAAAAATCATACCATCAACCAAAACTTTAAATATAGAACCAAAGTGTTTTTAGTAATACATATATTTGACTCCTGAGAAATTACTACAGGTTGCACATACCTAATACAAAAATGCAAAATCTTAAATGCTCCAAAATTCTAAACATTTTAAGTGCCTACATAGCACAATGAGTGGAAAAATCCACAACTGACCTCACACGATAGGTCACAATCAATACACTGCAATATTAAAATACGGTATAAAATTACCTTCAAGTTGTGTGTACTGGGTATAGAGGACACACAAATGAATTTTGTATTTATATATGGGTACTGTCCCCAAAATACCTCATTATGTATATGCAAATATTCTAAAATCTGAAAAAAGTCCAAACTCTGAAACACTTTTGGTTCCAAGCATTTCAGATAAGGGATATTCAACTTGTATTTTCTAAATTAAATAGTTGGCAATGGTGCCTTTACAGATATGAAAAGATCTACTACTGTCTGCATATTAATGGCTACTCTCAAGGGTATATCTGTGCCTAGGGAAGGATGCTGTTACCCTGCTGTGCAAAGACCAAGCCCACTGCACTTCTGCTGGGTGTGCACCTGCTCATCCATTGAGGCACACACAAGTACTATTGACCTCATTTCCCACCCTGAGTCTTACCTGATCGATAGCGCTCATCTCGTGACCCTGAGGACCGTCGGCGGTGATAGCGAGAGGAGGAGGAAGGAGTGACGGGAGCCCGGCGTTCTTGAGGCAAAGCTTGGTCCACCCCTGGATTTAAGGGAAAACAGCAGAGTGAGCATGAGGCTTGACTCAGAAGCTGGTGTTAGCTGATTCTGTGGAGCAAATCATTTGGTAGAACAAAGCCCTGACTCATTACATTCCTACAGCACATCCAGAGCCACCAGGGTCAGGACCAGGCATGAGTCTGGAGCCAATGGGGAGCATCGCAGCTGACAAATGAAGACAAGCAGCATCCTGGGCTGGGGCTGAGTGGAAAGTTCTCCTGAATGTGGGAAGGCTAACCCTGTAGGACAGCAACGAGTTCAGATAGAGTGGCATGTGCTCCACATCACAGACGTCCACTACGTCACAGGAAGACACTCAACTGCAAGTAACAACCAAATTCTTAGAGTTAGAATAAGAACAATAGGGAGCCAGCAGGTGGTGTGGTGATTAAGGTGCTGGACTCCAATATGGCTGATCACAGTTTATGTCTCAGACCTGGTGGCCTGAAAATCACGTTGGACGCATGTGCATGCATGCCCAAAATCCCAGGAGGAGAATGGGTGGCAGCATGGCCACTCCCTCTGGGGAGTAACTTCTCACTTGCCCTTTCTGGTAAGCACACGCACCCTTGAAGAAAAAGAAAAGGAGAAGAAAAACAAAAGAATAAGAACAATGGAGCCCAAGATACAGAATCTTTTTCTATACTAAATATACAGAGTGGTCAAAATTCTTGAGGAAATTGAGAATTACAATGATTAAAGTGAACTTTAGAACAAATCTTAAGGGATATTTTAACAACATAATTCAGGAAACCAGGATATGGCTTAAACTTGAAGCTTTGTTCATTCCAAATTACTAGCTCTCTGGAAAGTTATTTCAGCTGATGCCAAGAATTTTAACAAATTGTATTTGAATGAATTACCAAAAATGTTAACGTGGTCAGATAAAAATGATTCAATGGTTGTTTGTCCAAAAGCTGACCCAAATCTGCCAATCATGGTATTTATTATACTCAGATAATGGTGCGGCAAGAAATATAATCCAGGTAGAACTAAATAATACAGGAAAGACTTAATCTTTATGGTACAGAGGTAAAGGAATTCTTCGACACTAAGCATTAATCATTAATTGTTGCTTCTTTAGAAAATGACCAATAATACTTGATTCAAAATCAACCAGACATAAACATAGTAAATTAACAATAATAAAAAAAGTTCAGCTCCTGGTTTCCAATGACGGGTTTCCATGAGTTAGTTGTCTATTTTGTGGGTCTAATATTCCTCTTCTTACTCTGATTTCTGTACTTCTATTCTCGATGATGTCGTTGGTCTCACGTATTAGGTTACTACATCAAAACTGTAAAAACGACAGTCCCTGTAGAGCAGCCACTTAGGTTCTATATGCACTTTATTTAACAAGAGTACTAAAATCATTGGCTCACAGTTTCTGATAAGCTCGTAGCTACCAAACCTGTCCCAGTAATTGTCTACAAATATTTTTAAATGATTTTTTTTAAAACTGCCTTTTATTAAATAATTTTATTTCATCATTTTAAAATTTTCTATAGGGCATATATGCTTACCAGAGAGAGACAGAGTGCAGGAGAGCATGAGAGAGAGTGAGAGCAAGCAAGCCACCAGGTCTGGGATTCAAATCGTGGTTGGCCATGTGGGAGTCTAGCGCCTTAATTAACCACCACACCATCTGCTGGTCCCTCAAAATTAATTTTTATTTCTATCAAACATGTAGTTTGGTAGAGCACTATTAAGCTATATGGAAAGTAACAGTTACTGAGTTTTTAATACAATGTGGATTTAGAACCCTACTTGTGAATTGTTCATTTTAGACACTAGATGAATTTGTCCCCGACACCACCATGGCCATTATTGCTGGAATGATCTGGATATGTACAGATTGCTTTCTGCAGGGCCAGCAGGGTGCTACCAGGACCTTTGTATCTTAGACATTTTGAAGTTTCTGGAGTTAGTATTTTTATCTTTTTTCCTAATTATTTTGGTTTCCAATGTGCTTATTGGAGCCCTTTCAAAATACCCAAAGAGAATTGAGAAAAATTCTTTCCCATACTTTTTCCCAAGGGCAAATACTAATAATCGGTAGTAACTTCTGGTTCAGTTATCTTTTTCTTTAAAGTCCTTTTGGAGTTCCCCCATTCCAACCTTGGCCCCTGGACCTGCTGCAGACTGTCCTGAAGGAGGTCTTCATCCTCAGGCTCACTTTTGCTTTTTTTGTGTGTTGGTCCATGTTTTTCCTTGCCTCTCTTGCCGTCTTGTGTATGTATGTATGTATGTGTGTGTGTGTGTGTGTGTGTGTATACACACACATATGTATATGTGTGTGTACATACACACAAAACGTATTTTATTAAATGTTTTTTGCTATAGTGCCTATGCACTCACCAGAGACAGATAGAGGGAGGGAAAGCGAGAAACCATCCTTACCCCAGGGCGTGGGGAATAATGGCTACACTGCAATCCCTTCTCCTCCAGTCTCCTCTTGAGAAGCTGGGCATGGCACGTGCACACACACACACGCCCAGCATGATCTTTAAGCCGCTGAGTCCAGGGCTCGAACTGTACTGTTAACCGAGTGGGATCTAGTGCCTTATCTTCCACACCACCTGCTGGTCCACATTACTCTCATATTTTAAAGGAGTATCTACAGCAGCTTCTTCAGAAAGAATGAATGAAAATTAGTATCTGGAGGCGCTGCACATCTCGGTATCTTTCTCCTCCTACCTTAATATGATTAGGTCATTTACCTAGACGTGGAATTCTAAGTGGAAATTATTGTTATTCATTACCTTCCATTCCTGTTATTGAAAAGTTAATGTCACTTTGACGCAATAACCTTTCTTTTTTCCTGTGTCCACTTCTATAGTCTCTTTTATTCCTACTGAAGGAGCTACAAGCTGGTCTTTTTTTCCCCTTACAGTGAGGCACAGCTGAATCTCCTTCCAGTAGAGCTTGTGTTTGTACTGTTCTATGCTCAGAGAAGAACCTTTAATCTCCTGTCTCATGACTAAACACAGGCAAGCTCACCACTCTGCGGCGGGGCGGTTTTCACTCCTCAGATTCTGTGTTCTCATTTAGTGTCTGGTTTTAGTGCTGCCTGACATGCACAAATCTGGAGCCTTTCTGCTTTTATTTCTCCAAAGAACAAACATCTGGGAGGAGTGGGAGAAAGTATCACCTATTTCCTGGGTGGTGCCCTTGGTTTTGATCAGCTTCTTGCTTTGCTAAATAGGGTAGCACTAATTCTTCTACTTCACATATTGTAAATACTTGCCATTGTTTCTTTCACTTTCTTATCCTGTGGCTTTATACTTCATACACTTACTGACATTTCTATGCAGTTTGGGAAGAAGCAAAATAAATGTGCACTTTCAAGTTGCCAAGGTTAATTTTTTTAATGCTGGGACCAGGAGATGGAATAATAGTTACATTGCTGGACTCCCATGTAGTCAACTGTGGTTCGAGTCCCAGACCTGGCAAGTTGAAATTCGCATCAGGTGCGTGTGCATGTGTGCCCAAAATCCAGAGAGAAGAATGGAGGAGAAGAGATTGTGGCATGGCCATCCCCCCTGGGGGGTGGTTTCTCAATTTATGTCTCTCCACCTCTCCCTCCCTCCCTCTCTCTCTCTCTCTCTCTCTCTCTCTCTCTCTGGCAAGTGTGTATGCCCTGCAGCAAAAATCTTTCTCTAAAAAAAAAAAATTAATGTTTATATTTCAGTCAGTACTATTACTCATAAAGTTCATTCTAACATGCTTTCTAGAATCACCTTCAACCTTAACCTCTTACTCAAAGTTGCTGCTCAGTGAGGTGGTGGGCTATTGTTGGCTTGTTCACAGACCTTTCATATCTGTCCTCAGAAAGCTAATTTTGACACACAAACATGAGTACTTACTCTCTAGGTTGCACTGCAAAGTTTACAAAAGCTTTTAAAAATAAAATGAATAAAACTAGACCAAAACAGTTTAACTGGTTGTTAGCAGTAAAATATTAGAAGAAACTAGATTTCAGTGTGCATCTTTCATTCCTTAATTTTTGTCTAACCTCATTCCAAATGAATTTGTGGAGGCGTGAAGCTATATTCGGACAAGGAAGAATTATCAGATGAAAATGTATCTCAGTTAGAATCCCATCTATCACCACAGAAGGGTTCAGGGTAACTGAGGAACCATCTTCATGCTCATCATCAGGGAAATGAACAAATGCTGCTAGAACGGACTTCTTTGTAATAATAATCAGCAACACAAGTAATTATAGATCAGTATTATACACTGTGGAGGACTCACAGTCATGGTCCTGTTGGTTTGGGGAACCACTATTAAAATCTAGCACTAAGGAGACCCACAGCCCAACAAGATGCCTCACCACAGAGGGGCAGTTAGGCTTTAGGGAGACTGGCCTCACCTCAGGGAAACAGGCCGTCACGAGGGAAACAGAGTGACTGACTCAAACACCCATGTGTCAGGAGGACAAGAAAACTAACTCTCCCCAGGCAGACACATGACTAGGAGCCAGATGGAATCCTTTCCCCACAGTCATGTATTAGGCATCCACGAGCTACCATGACTGGGGTCAAACAGACCTTGGACAGATCCTGCTCAGATCCAGGGACCCCTCAGGCCAGATCCAGGGAACCCTCAGGCTCCAGTGACTATGCGTAACCCTGGTGAATTCCTTAACCACTGCAAGGCTCAGTTTACCATTCAAATGAAAATGATAATACCTAATGCCTTCTTGTACTGATGTATACACTTTGTATTTATTAATTCATTAACACAAAAACTACGAGAAAGGTGCTGCGATTGTTGCTGTTTGACTGATGAGGAAACACAGGCACAGAGGGTGATTTTAATTCAGGCAGTCTGTCGCTCTTGCGTGGTACAGAAACGTTCACTCGTAAGTGCCTTTTTATTTACAGGGTGTTCCCAGTGTCCTCAGAGTACACAGAGTCTGAGTGCCTCCCTGCCAGCTCCCTAAAATTTAGACAGGAAGGCTTGGAGCTGCGTCTTGTT